TAAAGATGTGAAAGTGTAAGCTCTGACACACATGGATTCTGTCACCTAACGTGCAATTGTTTGGATGGTGAAGCTACTTTAAACACACCGCCTATATTACTCTGATAAATATTAATCACAGAATATATTGGATGTATTGATCTATTTTTGCATTTTAAAAACATTTGGAAGGTTTTTGAAATAACCGTAGAAACCCAGATCTTGCTGTGGCTTTATGATGGGGTTTTTCAAGGTTGCAATTAGAAACCCAGTAAAGAACACAAAGAAGAAAGAAGAACACAGAGACGATAAAAGCAAAGCTTATTACAGTTAATCAATCTGATCAAAAATGAATCAGAAAAAGTGTCTGAATATCTTTTGTTTGTTCCATCACAAAGATTGGAGCCATAATTTCAACATCCATCAGCACCTGCGTTTATTTAGACACCACTTGAACCTTCAGGTGTGATAGCTGCCAAAAAACTATCCTTTTACTGCACAACCACCCTTTTGGCTTTCAGAGTGATGACTTTTACTTCGCCCTAGTTGTTGTTAGTTGTTGTTAGGTGTTGTAGGGAGATTTTCCTTTACAAATCTGACCAGAGGTCAGAGATACTTGATACATGACCTGCATGCATTTTTTCATTTCTCACGTGAGCAGATGCCGTCAGCCACAACACAACGTGGATGCCTTTAGGCTGTTTGATGTTTCCATGGTTTGGAGACACAGACAGAGAGTGCACGCTACATGCAGGTTGTAGTGAAGACAGAGAGACTGATAAGTTATCTGTGAAGGGACAGATTGCACTAATGTAAGTGCAAAGTTACAGCCCTCTAGGTTCTGATTGCTTGTACAGTTTTAATAGGGTTGTTTCAAGGTTTAGTTACTAATCTTTAACATATGCAAAGTGTCAATTATTGATTAATGAAACTTGCATAAGGGTTCATGTGATTTGCATTTTAGGTGCATTTATTCTCCATTTGTTCTAACTGGAGAGCTAGCATAGCATTATTTTAGCAGAACTTCCATTAAAAGCAAAGGTAATGGAAAGCTTTCTATGTTAGCAGCAGACTCGGAGCAGATCAGGTTCAAGGTCAAGTCCTGAACTTTTGTTGTATGAAAGAAGGAACATCTGTTGAAGTGCTGCCCAATAAAAGTTATGTAAAGGTGGAC